AGAACCGAGGACCTCCGATGTACATTAAGAGTTAGCCCTACGAGTTAGGGTTCCAGCTGAATCACTTGCTTTTTCATTCATAATTAAGACTTTAAAATTTGCTTTTTTAGATCGGCTAGCAGGGCACTGCTTCCAGTTATTTACTTTCTGATCGTATAGGGTGCTATGTCCTAATTTTTAATCGTGTAGCTGTGCAGGCAGGAGTTGGAACTCATCCAACTGCAAACTATTGGAGCTGGGAAAGATTTTGCTCTTAATATTATCAGATAATGATGGCGAAAGGGCTAGAATACCTACCAAATAGTGAAAGATGTGATTTATAAATCCGGAGGGAAAAATAAGTGTGGTTATTTGTACTGAAGGTATAAGTAATGAAATGTGGAAGTGGAGCTATAGGTCTTTTTAATTTCACATATTAGTAAAATCGTTTGTTAACCCCTCTCCCCCCTTCCCCGCAAACCATGATAATAATTTCTGAAACTGGATTTTTAAACAGCATAGAATCAGTGAATGTACTCGAGATATTTACAGCTTCTTGGCTTAACATCAAAATGTTAGAGCTGGAAAATAAGCAACTCTTGCTAAAAACGAAGGAATGACCCTGTTTTGACAATTTCGCTGAAGCTGGAGATCTGTGAGCTCCTTGCTGTCCTGTTAGCACCTAAATAGGGCATCGCATGGCAGTGCAGGCACTTGCAGCAATTTTTAAGAGAGTGAAAGGGTTTAAATTAAAAACTTAGGCAAACTAACTTGTGTAAGAAATCAGGAAACATTTAGGTAGTTGATTTATCCTCGGGATGAGGGCTGAAAACCGATTTGTCCTACAGTAATCTTGGGCATTTTTTTCCTAAAAGCAGCGAACTGTCTTTATCCTGAATTAAGGCATATTTTACACAATGACATAGCATCCAGCTATATTAAACATGCATCCGTGTCCTAATGATACTTCTTATGGGTGCTTAATCATAACTGAGTTAATTAACCACAACAAAAATCAAAACAGGAGAATCTGTTGACTTATTTTCAATATGTATCATCCTGAAATGTGCTGTGGGTGCGTGGCCATGCTCGAAAGACTTCTCTGTCAGTGCAGTCTGCAAAACTGAAATAATCTCTCTGTAATCTCTCTCTCTATTACAACGGAGAGAATGCTCCTATATTAATGTCAATGCATTTATATTTTTCCTCTGCATTTATGTTTAATTAAACAACTACTCAGCTTGTCTTGCTCTGTCCTTTTTATTTCTGGGGAAGTGTACCTATGCAGGCCTCAAATACATCTCCTGCCCTTATGCTTTTTGTCAGACTTATTCAATTAGTGCTTTCTCCTTCTTTGCCTCCCTCCCCCCAAGTGAAACTTTGCAAAATAAAGGGCATTTGCTGTTCAGCTGTAGCCCACGTCCAAAAAGCCTCACCTTTTATGTGATTTTCTCCCCCTCGCATCTTTAACTGAAGCTTTCAGTCCCCCTAGCCTGAACACAGAAAACTCCCACTTAAACCGAATATATGTTTTCAATTCACAAATAATACAGCCTGGGCTCTCAAAAAGAGATCAAAATGTCCGGATTTTACTAAACAAAGAGAGATCACAATGCTCTTGTTTTCTTTTACATTGCTTCCATCTCTCGTCAGAAGTGAAAGAAGTGGCTGGAAGCCTTGGGGCACAGAGAGATCTCTTTCCCTGAATCCCAGCCTGTCTTATCTGCACTTTTGCTCCTGTCTGTGGTTATAATATACTGGGCTACTTTACAGTCCAAATGCTATATATAATTATATTTATTCTAGCTTGGTTTCCTGAAAAAAATTAATATATATTTGTCACCAGGAGAGTTTTTCAGCAAATCCCCTGTAGGAATTGTACTTTATGTTAAATGTAATGCACTGTAATGCTCGTTTGTGCTGTTTTTTTTTTAATCGAGATTTTCTAATCAATTTGTGAACCTCTCTAAGGAAATAAAAGAAGTTTGAGGGTTTTTTTTCGAATTTGACACCAACAGTGAGACTAGTTACAAGGACAGGAAAATATTGCCTATAGGCTGGAGATTATACATTATGGTGTTCATTTTTGGAAAGTCTTTGTGCAAACAGAAAATGAGGAATTAAGGGGAAATCGCTGTAAGCTGTTAAGTTCCAAATAAGAGAAACTTGCGTTCTAATTATGATAGTTTTATGGTGCAAATGAGAAAATTGAAAGGAGCTTTTTTTTTCTCTGGGAGAAACAGAAAATCCAATTATTATTGTTGTTGGAATTTTTTTAAGGGATGTTTTTAACAACAGAACGTAGCCACAGTTTACTTATAGAGGGGTTATGAAAGTATAATATACTGATTTTAGAGGAAAACTTCTGGAACTTTGAAACATTCTTTTTGACTTTTCCTTTTTGGGTGACATAATGAAACACAAATATTGGGGAGAAAAATTTCTTCTAGCATTTATGTTTCTTAACAGACAGAGCTATGGTACAGTCCAAATATTTGTTTTATGATAATGCACAGACAATGTAAACACCTGAAAGCTTATAAAAACACATTCTACATTTGCTGTTGCTGAGGTAAAATATCTGTTCCTCAGAGACCCTGTATTTGCTGTTTAACAAGATTAAACAGTAATGCAGAGATGTCTCAATGCTTAGGCAAATAAAACCAAATTATACTTAATTTTTGTAAGTTAAGAAACTGAGTTAACCCTCATTAGAAAAAAAAAAGTTGTTATATCCCCATTCTATTCTATTTCAGACATTTATCTCTCTGAGACAGAAAGCTGTGACCACCGAAGTGATAACATCTTTCGCAATTTCACCGAGTTCAGTAACAAATACATTACAATTAGATGTTCTGGTGCGTCATTAGTTTTATAGCGGGGCTCTTCTGTCTGCTTTAAATGAGAACTGAGCTCTGACGAAAGGCAGGGATAAGAAGTGAGGATGTGAGGCAGTGCTGGAGCAAACCCCCCCACCCCGCGGTATCCAATTCTCCTCTTTCTTTCATAGGTGATGAAACTCGGGAACCCCGAAATCGCTCGGCGGCTGCTCAGTAAGGGGGCGAACCCCAACCTGAAAGACAGTACTGGCTTCGCTATCATCCACGACGTAGCCAGGGAGGGGTTTCTGGACACTTTGCAGACTCTGCTGGAGTTCAAAGCCGATGTTAACATTGAGGATAACGAGGGCAACCTGCCCTTGCACTTGGCGGCCCAGGAGGGGCACGTGCGGGTGGTGGAGCTGCTGCTGGCGCGCTCCGAGTGCAAGGTGGGCCACCAGAACAAGCGGGGGGCCACCGCCTACGACCTGGCCAAGCTCTACCGGAGAGCAGCCGTGGTGGAGCTCCTGGAGGCCACCAGCTCCTTCCCTGCCAACATGGACTGAACCCCGCTAGGATGGGGTCTCCTTTGGACGTGAGGGCGTGATGACTTCTTGGGGTGTTTTCCTCCTTTTTTGTTACCACATTACTTCTATTTTATTTTTTTTTTCTGAACAGCTGGTAGTGTAAGTCTCAAGAAATTCAAGAAGTGGGTTTATAGATAACAGAAACGTTTTAAATCCATGCTCCCAGCAGTTTCTTACACCTTTCACTTTACTCAGTACTCACAGGCTCATTCGTGTGTATGTTGGTTGTTCATATCTAGTTTTCCAGTATAAAGTTTTACAACTTATTTTAGGTCATTCATATGAAGTCATTAATCCAAGAGCTACTATTCACATGCTTAATATTGCTGGACTTTTAAGAAAAGGAAATAGTTTACTGTGATTTCTCCCACCTCTCAATGCACCCCTCCCTTCTCTTCCCCACCCCCCTTCGGTCAGGCTCAAGAGTCTGAAGTCTTGTTTTGGATTAAAACATCCTTTTAAGGGGTCACCTGCAATCCCTGCACAGGCAGAGCTGGAAGTGAAAGGTTGCTTGGCCTGAGGACAGTGGATGGCATTTAGATGCTTTAGGCAATAACTGTATTTTGTCACTAACAAGAGCTTGTAGAAGTAGGTTACTTACTTTCTAAATGTAGATGACACTTTTCCTCTTTGTGTATTTAAACTTTCACCGATCTGGTTTTGAATTTAGTTACCAGAAACAATATAAGTGGTGTTTCTGTGATTGCCAGAGGTTTTAAACAGCTCAGTTTAGTAGTTCGTGTTTACTGTGCACTGCACAAGACCTTTTTTTCTAGTTTCAAAACAGGCAGCAGAGAAACATTGTCAGAGGCAAGAAGACATGAAGGCTGCAATACAAGATTTCCGGTCACTTCATGTGCTGAGTGCAGTTTAGATGTTCTTTCAGTAATATTTGCTTTCCAACAGCTATTCTGTTTTGTCTGTAAATAAACTATTTTAATGACAGATGCATCTCGCAAAACAAGAATATTTGCATACAGTGACATTTAGGAAGCAGCACGTTTGATATTTGTGAAGTTAAGTTATTGCTTGCACCTAAAACACGATTTAACCATTGAAAATTTTCCATTGCAATACATTTGAGAGTATTCACCACACCGAAACTCATTTGCCTCTCCAGCCTCAACATATTGGGAAGAGTCTCTTATGAAATTTTTAACATTTGTACAGGATCTACTTTTTGGACAGATGGGCAGTTTTAAGTACTTTATTTTGAATAGTCTAAAATTTAATTGCACAAAATAGAAGGGTTTTAATCAATGCAAAATTAATACTACTTTAAATAGTACTTAAAAGAGCAGAGGGAGTACCTTAGTTTAGTTTTCAACTTAAAAAAATTAGCCCCACAAAATCAGTACTACATTTTCAAGTAAAAAGTAATTTGCTGAAACTGTCTGTCACTTTTACTATAAGCTCTGTTACACTGCTGTGTTTTCTGATTAAAAACCTCTGTGAAATATGAAGTTTTGTGCTCTTTTATTATAATTTTTGTTCACAAGGAACCTAGAGATCATTAATGGGAGCAGCATGGCATGTAGGAAGCGTGCTTAGGGAAATAACCTCCAAAGTTCCCAGTTTAAAGAGCACTAAACCAACTGAAATATTAAACCAAGCAACGTAATCCACAGGTCCCCGAGGTGAAGTGACCCAAATCGCTCTATGTCAGTCTCCGTCTTCCTTTCCTCAAGTCCTGGAGGACTCTCCAAGCCTTTTTCTTCTCCATTCCTGTCACAAAGCGAAATTCCGCGCTTCCACCAGCATTTCTCCCATTCACTGCCACAGCAGAGGTGAAGACCAAAAGGTAATATCCCAACTTTCTCGCTTTTTTTTTACACCTGTGCTGCTAAAAAAGCTTATCGCGCACCCATTTTGAGCTTCATCAGCATTTAATTTACGCTAAGGCGAAGTTAAAGCAGTGGCTTAATAAAGTAACTGCTTTATCAAGAAATATGCCCCGCCTAGTCAGAAATAGCGGCTTTTATTGCATGCCAGGAGTCCACGGCTGAAGCCAGGACAAGTTACCCCCGGGCCATGCCCAGAGCCTCAGCGGCTGAGTCACGGGCTATAGTGTGGTTTAAAGGTGCGTTTTATCTCCTTTTACTGCTGCGTTCTCTCCGTGAGCCCCTCAATTTATCGGAAATAAGATTATAAATTGAAGTTCCTCGTTAGATACTTTGAAAGCAAAAATTACTGTTATCCCAGGAAGTTCATAGTTTCTACCAAGAGCCTCTGGGAAAGCAAAGAAGTACATCAGCTGGCGAGTTACACTCACAGGGTTTGGAAGTGACAAAATGTGCCTGGCTGCTGGGGGATGGTTTTCCTCCAGAAGGTTTTATATTTACAGAACGAGGAGAAAATAATATAAAGCATGTCTCATTAATCGGGAACTTTGACACTGAAAAAGGATTGTAATATCGGATGTAGTTTAAGAAATTACTTTTATGGGTTTTTTAAAGTAGTCTGGCAACATCAAAAAGTCCAGTTTCACAAATTCACATATTTGTGAGAATGTCGACAATAATATTTACCCGGAGATGCAAAACTGCAGCATGTAAGATGGAATTAAAGATTTTTGAGAGCTTTTATTGAGACATAAACCAACTGCAAAGTAAGTCTCTAGGCAGGAGCAGAGATCGCCCTGCAGCAGCCCTGGAATCGGCAATAAACAGTGTAGTATCGAGATGAGAGGTATAAATAGAAACAAATACAGCAAGCACAGAAAAATGTGAAGAAAGAGAGCATAAAATGTAGCTGTACCAGGATTCACAGTGACCAGGCTGCATGAGGACACAACTGTGGGGCAAGAGCCCTCTCCCCTATTTCGGTTACACGGATGAGCAAAGCTGTTACACTTGACCTTTGTTTCTGAATTATCCTCGGCACAACAGCGGGGGCTGCTGAATTCCTTTCGGAAAGGGGCAGATCCTAAAGGGATCCTACAGGGAACGAAGAGAGTTTTATCTCCAGCAGCAGCACCGTGGGAGGGTGAAATACCCGGTCTGTGGGTGCTGGGGAGAGAGGGGGAGAGGTGCAGGGCTAACCCAGGCACTGCCGTGCCCTTACCCAGGGGAGAGAAAATGAGAAGGTATTTGAAGGTGAATTCAGCTCAATCTCCAGTGCAATAAGTGACTGCACATTTAAGTACAGGAAAATAGTTTCTTTCCAGCTTTCAGTGTGGGGAAAAGAATGGAATCAATACTTTATTCCATGGTGGGGTAAGATATTAGCTCCGTAGGAAGTGCCATTCCATTGTTCACATGAAGAAAGAGTTAACAGTAGAAAACTACCACTTTTTAGTTTTTTAAAAAAAGAACAAGGTCTCTTCCACAAATATACCTGGGAATTCACTGGGCAGCCCGCCGAAGCAGCCAGAAGCAGCCAAACATTATTATCTCCTGACTGAAGGGCTGAAATTCTCTCGAAAAAAAAAAAGCGAGGGGAGGAAAGCTTCTGCATTTACTTGTGGCGTCTGTTATACTGTGCATGGCGGGGGCTGGGGGGGTGGGAAGAAAAACAGGAGAAAGAAGGACAACGAGAGAAAGAAAGATTTCTCACCGGGTCTCAGCACAGCCTGCCCCACCACACATGCATTCAAAATGTCGGTGCTCCCGGAGGGCTCTGCCGGGGTCCCCGGGGAGGAGGCAGGGTCGTGCGGGCGGAGGTGCGGGCAGGTCGGGCGGCCCCCCGGGCGCGGGGCCGCGGGGCGGGGGGGGGCGCGCCGGGCTCCGAAACCGTTAGTTTGGCTCCTGCGGCTCCGCTCCCCTTGCTCTTCCTGTCCAAATAATTTTAAATTTACGCGCCTTAAATAACAGTCTGATTTTATTTATTTAGTTTCCTCCGCGGGCTCCGCCGCCGCCGCCGCTCCGCTTCGCCCCGGCCCCCGGCGCCAGGCCCGGGGCGGCCGCGCAGCGCTGCGGGGCTGCGGGGCGCCCGGACACCCCCGCGCCTCCCGCCCGCCCGCCCCCCCCCCACCACATACCCTGCGCCTTTTTTTTTTTTTCCTTCTTCTTCTTCCTTTTTTTTTTTTTTATCCTCTTTTCTCTTTTTCCCTCCCTTTCCTCCCTCCCTCTCCCCGCAGCCGGGACTGGAGTCTCCTCAGGATAAGCCCGGTGCCTTCGCAGCCGCAGTGAGTAAATAGAAGGGACCCACATCTTGCCGGGGGGATGTTTCTGACACATCTTTGCGGCCGCTGCCGGGCGGCGGCGGCGGCGGCGGCGGGGCTCCCGCTGCAGCGCCGGGCTCTCCTCCCCCAGCACCGCGTCCAGGGATGCAGAAGCATCTTCTCCCAGGGCAGAGCCCATGTAGAAGGCAAAACCAAGCAGGTTTGTCCCCAGGTTTCCTTAAAAAAATGGGTGGCAAGGCATCCCCAAGCCGGAGGTTTTCATGACCTTGTGTTACATCTGAAAATCAGACGGGCAAAAGAGGGGGGAGGAAAAATCCACGCTTCTTGGTTTCTGTGTCACAGAGGCGAGGAAATTATCTTCGGAGGTAAAGTACACGGCACATTTCTGAGAGCCAGATGTGTCGAGCCTTGCTCTGCAGACCTAATTTACAGAGCCTCACTCGGAAAAAAAAAATAATTCACTTCTGCCCTGGCTCTGAGTGGTAAAATGGCTTCTGCGTTTTGAAGAAGCACTAAGTACAAATCACCAGGGACATTATACAGTGCCAAAGGTTTCTGCTTGTCATTTTGTACTTTCCCCTCATTAGAATTACCTTTCAGCACAGTATCGGTTGTAACTGTGCGAAGTTCAGCTTAAGGATCTAGGAGGAAGAGAACTCTCCTATGTTGGATACTTCAGAATAACCTTGACCTTTCATTAGTGCTTATCCTAAAAGATAAGTCATGCACGGAAAGCAGGGAATTGGGCAAGGCACCTGCAAAAGTACAAATGAAATGGCTCTATTTTTAAACTAGTGTTAAAATGGCTTCTGAATCTGACTAAACGAGGGGCATTGAAGGACTAAAAAACAAAATCTAGAGCTCTGTGGCAAAATTCAGTTTGACACACACAGGACCCCAAGCTAATTTCCTCATCCCCAGATGGATTTTGTGCCGTTAGTGCAACCAGTGCTGCTGAGACTCACACTGCCAGAAAGAGTAAATTCCCTCTGAAAGAAACTGAATCAGCCAAAAGTATAATCAGCTTTTCAGGGAAGTACAAGACCACTGAACCATGTTTCCAGTTGCATTTCTTTGTTCCTCTGCAACTGTTTTCTGATATTTGTAGCTGTAATTATGGAGGCCACTAGCATTTTTGAGTATTTTAAATTACAAAAGCCTAATTCCGGGTAGGAAGCCTGAAACATTTTCTTCACAGTGCAGCCACTAAAAGGTTAAACGCAATTCACAGCTCCTGGTGACAGTTTTCCTTCAGCAGATAGTGCCTATCAAGATGGTCTTTCTTTCTCCTGTTACACCCTGAGAGCAGGAAACGGGGCAGCATTTATATTGCAACACAGCTCTCTTCACTCCTCAGTATTAAGATTATTACCAGCCCAATGATATTTTAATGAACATTTTTAAACATGGAGCTAATGAACATTTAAAGGAAAAGATACTCGTGCAACACAAACCACAATAAAATGCCATGTCCTGTAGAAACACTGAGTACTCAAAAGCTTTTCAGGATTTGACCTTAATGGAACACAAGAGCAATCCTGGGTACAGCTCACATTTATATGCAGAGTATACTGCAGGCCAAAATAAGGGTTTCTGCTAAAGTTAATTGTAATTTTCTGGTGAGGGAGGATCGAATGTTCAGGCCTGAAGTTATTAACATCTATTCTGATGGAAATAGGGACATTTGGATACACTTTGTCAAATCAAAAAGAGTGCTTTCTGCTTCAGATATGTTGCCCCAGAGGTGATGTACCACCATTTGAAAATCTGCACTTCCAAATCAGGCATGCCAGGATGGGAGTGTATTGATCGGTCAGGAACTTTGGCTTGTATCTAATAATGCTGGAGAACAGGCAGAGAAGATTCTCAGTCCACATTAGCTGGAATATGCACATGCCTGGAAATGGAGCTGTTACATGTAAATACTTCCTACAGAACGGATTTTTTTAAATTTTCTGAAAGGAGAAGTACACCCTGCTAGAAAAAGCAGTTTTCTCTCTGTACATGCCATAGTCCTTGAGGGTGTGACTGTAGGTATACAAACAAAGCTGTATTTAATCTCTCTAAGGGAATTTTATAGAGAACATCTGTTAAAGAGAAAAGTATATTTGTTTCATAAGCACTGCAGCATTTAGTAATATCACTCTTGCACCAACATATATGCTTTAAATTGAGTGATATCTCTGGATTTTTCAGTTGTAATTTGTTTTAGCTCCTGTAAAATAAGGGCTGCAGACAAAGAGCTGTGCTACACTGTGATACAGTCACAGTATTCACAATCCAGCACTGTATGCACGTATTGGAGTGAACAACAATTTCCTTCCTGTACGAGCATTTTAATTTATGGAAACATACTGTTTTGTGTAAAGAAGGTAGTAGATAATTAACAGTATTCATTTAATCTAATTATAGGCCTCTGAGGCAAAAAGCTGACACTTTTCATTGTGGTATATTCAGAGAAGTTAATTGAAACAACATTGCAGCCACAAGGCATAACATGCCCATCATATATTTGATACTAATTCTTTTCTCAAAAATGGGATGAATCTGATGCTAGAGATAAGGATTACTGTTACTCACTCGAGTAAGGAAAGTCTGGGGAACCTCATTATGCAATTCTGAGTGCACTGCAATATCTCTATAATTCCAGAGCTAACCACAGACGACTTAATTTGCCAAATTGCAAGACGGTTTTGTAATGTACACAAGTATCTATTACAAATTAAGAAAAGACTGAACACATTTTTAGCTGGGACAGAGGTCAGAATTTGAAGACAGACCTGCCTGAAGAAGCAATAGGTCAATGTATAAACTCTTAGCTCTGTTTAATCTTTAGGAGGTACCAAGTAGTAACAGCAGCCTTACCCCTAAGAGTTGTTATTAGGAATGTAATTTGTGGTTTTAAGCTATCAGTATGACAAACAGATACATAGACAGCAAATCAACACTTGCAGCTCCCAAATATATATATATATATGAAAGTATGTCAGACCATGTGCAGTTTCAGAGTAATTTTTCCTATCACCTGATACACACCAACAACTCAATCTTCTGGCAGCAGTGCTACTTTCATTCTCAAAAGGAAAGTAAAGCAGCTCAGCTCTGCAAAGCTTGCCTTCAGCTGACAGAGAACGTGACAGACCAAACATGCTGGTTGTGGGGAAGCATTTGTCATTTATATTTAAAAAATTGAATTTTCTTATAAATGGCAGATGCTTGCAAGCTGAATCACCATGCTAGGGGCAATTTTCAGTGTTTCCCCCTGCTTTGCCACTGGAGGAGTGTAACTGGTGTCTCTGCAGCTCCAGCAGTACCAGGGGGTAAGGACACCTCCCACCCTCCTCCCTGGCTCCTGCTCAGTGACCTCCACCTCTGCTCTGCCCGTGGGCAGCAGAGGACACCCAGCACACCCACTCTCCAGGTGGTGTTCCTGGCTGGTGGGAGATAAAATTGCCAAGGCAGTGCTGCTCACCCTTGTGATGAAGCAATCCTAATTACTGTGGGGACAGTACAAGCCCTCTTAGATGACAAACACCCACAGTGAAAAGGCCACTGAGCCGAACGTGGGGCCTTGCTTTGCTCGGCCAGTGAGAGACATTGCTGGCAGCCCTACCTATAATTTCAAAATTAATTTCAAATGCATTTTGCAGAGATACTTTTTACTGTGGTTAAAAGAGCAGCATATTGTACTTTAGGCACTTGAATGTTTGTTAATAAAATCAGAGAGAGGAAGTCTGAAAAATAAACAGATAATGACATTCGGTCACCTTAACTCTGGGGCTCTGGCTCAAGAGATCCAGAATATTTGATAAAGAAGATCTCTAACAAGAAAAAAGAAAGTGTGGCTATTGATGCTAGTCATACCTGATTCCTATTCCTATACCATTAGAGATAAATCACAATTAGCACTGATGTCTGACTTAAAAAATCAGCCTCTTCTCAGATTTCAGTCTGCATTCACACTCCTTCTCTCCCTTGATGCTCTCAAGTAACTTTCCGTCTGCCTGGCTCCCGCCTTCTCCTTCTCCTTTGTGCTGTTTTCAGGTAACTCCCAGCTCTTTCTCTTCCACACTTTGTTTATACATCTCTCCATTCCCTGGCTCCTGCTTTCTTACACACTTCATACTCTATTTTCATCTCCTAGTTTCCTTTCCTTCATCTGCACATTATTTTCTTTTCCTTCATCTGCATCTTCTTATTTTTTCTTAATTATTTCCTCTGGTATCTTATTTCTATCTCTGTTATGCTTATTAACCTCCTTACCCAATATACCATACCCTTTCCCATTGCCTAGCAGAATCTCTTTGTGTAAATATGTATAATCTTCTTTCTTCCCCCTAGCCATGCAGAACTGCTTCCACAACTGATTTCTGTCCATGATGCCTTAGGAGAATTCCTAGCATTAGTCAGTAATAGTTGTCTCCCTGGAATCTACTGCCTTCATCTCCTTCTTCTTTGCTTTGTGCTCACTCCCATGCTCTGCTGGTTCCAGGCCTCCTCCCAAACTCTTCCATCTTTGTGACCCATCCTTCTTTTCTCTCTGCCTCAGCAGTGGCAGGAGAAAGGCACACAGAAGGGACACCCAGATCTCACAGGCAGTGATCTCTTGGGGAAGGAGGAGGGGAAGCTGCAGAGGAATCCTGTGTGGTCCCCACTGCCTCAGGCACAGACCATACCTGGCTGCTCCCCGAAAAAGCAGCTCATGGTGCCTGCAGGCCATACAGCCAAGGAACACACAGCAGGATCCATCAGCACGGGATGGTCTTTGGAAAATTTAGCTGCCAAAAGTGAACAATTCTTAACTGATCATGCACAAACTGAAATTTTATGGAGTCTTATAACTTATGGAGTCTTATAACTTTTTTGCATTTGGATGCACATCTGTGAAACCACAATGATGGTGCTGCCAAATTCCAAGTTGCTGCTTAAAAGGTACATGGGTGAAACTAGACCAGTGATGGTGTTCCATTTCAAATTCCTTCTGTAATGGGGATACCGACACTTCTGAATGAAGCAACCAGATGATTATTTTTTAATACGGGCAAAATATTTTTTTAACCTTGTTCTTGAGAATTACTACAGTGGTTTAGCTAGCAACTGCCAAAAATTAAACCTGAGGCAGATGCTTGGCTTGGAGAATACCAGCCCAAACAGTGACAAGCAACTGAAAACAAGATGTTATTATGAAACACTGGACAAGGTTAAACAGAGCAGTTCCATGACTTTGGCCTAAATGTGGAAGACTTTTAAGTGACCTGTAATGAATTTCGTACTAAAAACTATATTGAAATAAGCAGAATATAGTCAGATTTCGCATTTTTGGGTGAGCTGAAAATAAAAGTTAAAGGAAAATAAATCCAGAATGCTCTGATGTGAAGAGGGAGGGGGAGGAGTGTGCTTGATTGAGACTGAGAGCACTGGGACTGAGGGCTGGACCAGTTTCTTTGGCAACAAAAGCTTGAAAGATCTACAGAAGTGCAGAAATAAATGATCCAAAAGTATTCTGTGAAGGTGAAACTTTACGGAGACAGCAGAGGGAAGGGGGGAAAGGAATTGCTTCCGGTGGGAGCATCAAAGCAACAGAAAGGGAAGTCCAAATATTTAGTTAGCTTTGGGGTTCTTAAATGCCCTGACTCTGCTCTGCATGCACTGATGGATTAAACCCACAGAGCAGAGCAGCTACCCTTGTTCCCACACCCTCCTTAGTGCAGTTTACCATCACAAGTCCCGGGGAGAGCACAACCTAACAGCCCCCAGAAGTGCTCCACATGTCTCATAGTTGACTGTTTCCCCTCGTACACCAAACTGAACACTAAGGCAGCTCAGGAGCTGCTCCAGATGTTGAAACCTCCGTTCCATGGCAGCAGCGATGGCTGTTGGAGCGGCAGGCAGGGCAGCTGAGGGCATTACCTGTGTCAGTCATCTGACTGACACGCTCTGCTGCCTCCCTGCCAGAGCCTTCCAGAGCAGGTTCACAGCCAGAGCTACAGCAATTACCACCCAGTGCTATTTGGCATTGAAAATTGTCATCCCATTTCTCTGCTGTGGATGGAATTAAGAGAGTCACAGAAACTTTCTAATATCCAATGAAATGTCTGTTGATTTGCAAGTACAAACATTTTTTTTTTGTCTATAAAATTAATACTACTAAATACTTTTAGCAGATTTAGTGTGTTGCCTGTCACTTGACCATATGTTTACCCAAAAGATATGTTCTAGTTCGAAAAGAAATTAATTCAGGAAGTCCTGTGGCCTTTGTTTTGCAGGAGGTCAGAGGAGGTGAAAATGGTGGCCCCCCCAGCCATCTCATCTCTATCAGTCTGTTTGTCCAGGATTTTAAAAGCAAAGCTACACTAATGGTGTAAACTTTCTGTGCAGTTAAAATATTCTGAAATGTCTTGCATAGCCCATGTTTGAAGAAGTTTGGTTGCATTTAAGCAAAATGCTTCATGTTAATGGTCATGGTTATACAAATCATGGTCAAAATGGTGACTTGTGATAACACTGGAGAACAGTATGAGATTAATTTAAAAGATATCATAAACAGAAAGTTCAAAATTCTTGGTAGGTGCTGTTGCTTGGCATACAAGTTCTTTTGCTTTTCTTAAATGTTTATGTGTTTAACATATTTAGATTTCTTTTGGGGTTTAATATAAGCCTGAGCTGGCAGTGCTTAGTTCTGGGACCACTGCAACACTTACACAACATACCTTACTCTTAAAGGTATTTTATGCTCAGCACCTTCTTCCATCTTATACAGTTTCACTTTTTTTTTTTTTAAGGAGATAAAAATGAGGTTTAAGGATAGCAGAAAAATTGGCCTGACAACATGATCTAATGAACCACAAAGCAGCTTTCAAAGAGAAAAAGTAGCAGGAAGTTCTTTCATACCGGGTATTAAAAATAGACTGCACCAAGTCCTGGAATGCACACGGCAGTTATGTAATGATTTTTCAGTGACATGCATTAGGAAATATTCTCAGTACATGTTTTTCCTTCCTAACACCCAGTTTACTTTTCTGAAGTTTGGAAATTCCTCATATGGATGCTTCTAAGAAGTCTAAAATTATAATGTTCATTTGAATAACCTATCAATTAGCAAGCCACATAATGACAACATCTAATGGTACGATTGAAGTATTTGAATTTAATATACCATTTTCATAATGGTATAATATGAAACACACGATGGAATCCAGTTTCTTTCCCCCCCACAAGTTAGACTTGGTTTATTTCTGACAATGTAATGATTTTGCACTGGAGACACTAAAAGAGAGAAATCAGTTTGGGTACACATCATAAGTATTGAGAACAGCATCTCCCTTGGAGCACTGAGAAGTCTCCCAAATGTTTCAAAAAGGTTTATATGGAATTGGGTACCTTTTATAAATGGAAGGACTTTCCTCTGCTATACTGAGGAAACTAAATGGTAAATTGTTTTGAAGAATGTCTTCCTCAGACTTCTCCTCAGAGGTTTCCCAGAGGTCTAGGCTTTGGATCTTTGCAGTATAATTTGAGAAGGTAATAAAGAAGTTGGAAACTTTTGGATTTTCAGCCCTACTGTTTTCTTGGATTACTTAATGTCCAGAACACATCTGCAACATCCTCTGCCTATAGCAGGGAAGGCAGATTACTTTGCTGTTTGCCCAGAACCTTTTCTCCCTTGTCTGTTAAAAACCACAAGCCCTCCCACAACCTTTAGACTTCCATGGCCACCACAAACTTAATCACTAACATTTTAAATTTTCATTTTTACTTCAAAGACAGCAAAATTCCCTGATGTGAAGACACACACACCTCTCCCACCTGTGTCACACACAGTGTCAGTATTTCCTAGGTTGCCACATATCAAGATGTATCAGAAGCACAATTACAGCCATTTTTTATCATCCAGTCATGTCAGTCATGGAGAATAATAGCAAATATTATGGCAGGTGAAATTCTGCCCACATTTTGGCTCCTACTAAGAAGTTTTTCCCAATTCATGTAGTGGATAATAAATACCAGCAGATCCTAAATGGTCAAATATGACCATGATAAAGCAATGGAGTAGAACTCTAACCTAAGTGTTGGGTCTGGCTTTCCTGAGATGTTTTAAAATATTTTCAAAACTAAAAATGCTTTTTTGTGTAGCAAGTGAAGCTCCATGCTGTTCTTTTTGAGAATACAGAAAAACCTGATCAAAGTACAATCAGATAAAACATCTGATTTATTTTCTCTTCTTACTGTTCTGCAGAAAGACAGAATTAAAAAATCCATATCTGACATGTGAACAAACTGTACCATATCCAAAATATTTCATTTTGGAAAGATACATAAAAAAGGAGAACAAGTTATCATCCTGTAGGGAACCTGTCTGTTTGATAAAATATTTAGAAACATCTCACTTGGCTGCCTGAAATAAAATTAAATGGGGCATACTGAATTCATGTCAAAAATTTATTTCAGAAGAAGAGATAAGGAAATGAGCACTAGAGCTGAGATAAAAGTTTGCTTTTCAAAAAGACAAACATAATTTTAGAAGATCAAAGTGTCTTTAAGGCCATAAAATGAAAGAAAACCTGGTTATTAACACATTCATTTGCTTCTAGATGCTGTTATACAAATATATTTCTGGGAATCCAGTGCCTAAAAAGTAATTTGTGAATAAGTCAATACTTATTTTTCTACACTGATACATAGGCAAAGCTCGAGCTGTTTATGAGGGGAGGAACACAGTCTCATGCATAGTATTCAAAAGTGCTCCGAGTTACAGAAAGACTCATCATTCAGCCTGATTAGTTTACAGGAACTGAAGCAAACAACATTCTGTGTTTTCTTACATATTTTATGACTATTTTCATATAAGCAAAAATCAGCCTTTGTCCTTTTTGAGGAAACGACATTTTAGAGCAAGGAGAGAATTACAGAGTCTTCTTTCATTTAACTCTTCTGACAGCTTTGCTTCACTCAGTCACTTGTGAATATTTCTGAGTTTTATTTGATATATTAACTTTTCCTATGAGATTTGCTGTCACTGAATGTGATATTCAAGGTCAACACTGCGAATGTGATTGTAAATGAAAGCCTTTATTTTGGCTGAATTAAAAACCTCGAGTGTTTTCTGTCCCTAAACAAACATGGGAAATCTCTTATGCATATTCAGGGGAAAAAATTTTCCTTCTTTTCCCAAAATTTGCTCTTACTTTGTTTGCAATTTTCCTTTTTTTCCATAAAACTTTATTCTCTTGATTAAAGTTGCTGATGTATCTAAATTAACAAGTCCTATTATTATATTCATCAATGGAGCAAATTTGAGCTCACCTCTGAAACCCAAAGCAAAGCTCTGCCACACCACATTTTCATCTGCTTTCCAGAAAGGCAGGGATTATCCTGTAGCACTGAAGGCTCTGCTTTCATGGTAGGAAGGAATTCTGGATTTTACACTGTTTGCTGGCTATGCACAACAGAAGAATAGACAATACCATCTGAGCTTGGGACAATTAACAGGATGTCTTTAGAATATTTTTATTACGTTAATCTTTTCTTTTGCTTGAGCCAGCATTCCCCTTGAGAGGAAGAGAAATGATGCTGAGACAACTTACTATTGCAAATTAATTGTATGGTCCATTTCCCAAGCATTTAATTTGGCCACAGCAACCTGTTCAACTCAAATGAGTTGTCAGAAAGTGACATAAAAGAGAGGCCAAGTTCTTTAGAGGTGGCCAGTAATTTTAAAGGATGAAGGGAAATGGCTGGCACTATTGCTTTTATCCAAGTAAAGCCTCTTCTAAACAGGGTAAGGGAAAATCAAGTGATTTGGCCCCACCAAAATTCATGCTACTTGAGACTTTTTGAAATGTTGATTGAAGGTGAACTACGGACTGGAACAGAAGACTGAGGAAAGACTTCATATGGCAAAAGCATATGAAATATGTAGAAAAAAGTGTAACATTTCTTACTTCTCATAACAGATAAGTCTGAAATTTGCAATATAAATTTGGGATAGGAATTGAGATAGATGCATCTGCTCAAACCTACAAGCAAGGCAGCTCTCCCTACCTGCACAAGTACAGGTATGTCTGTTGTGAAGAGGCCAGTACATCAGACCTCTTGCTTCCAAGTCAACAAGGTCTGAATTTGATCTTTTACAGCATGGCTCGTTTATTCTTTTTTAGTTCTGGCATTCTAGAAAATATTTCCTTGTGTGCGTCCACTCTTGGTATGTGGACCTCTGTGATCCAGCAATCCTGGATCCTTAACCCTTAACCCAGCCTGCTGCCTCAGTGCTTCTCTCACAGCTGTATGGATTTTAGCTTTTCAAAGTCCAGTTTGATTCATTCTCTCAACACAGGAACTTATCTTCAGGACAAGTATTTTTGGAACCAGAAAGGTATAATTTTATAGTTAAAGACATCACATTTTTCTGGGAAAACATAAAGGCAATTGGTAATGGATTAGACAGAATTTGACATTTGATCAGACTCTCGAGGACTCTCTCCCTGAGTAGATTCTTTTCCACTAGGAATGTTTATTGTTCAGGAAGCAACACTTAAAATTTTCTCTGCCATGAAAGAATTCTGAAGAACCTTATAGAAGGTGGTGTATGACCTTAAAGAAGACCTCCATCAGCCTGGTTAGTAATCATAATGATGTATCCTTCTTCCATGAAGCAGGCAGGAGTAACCAAATACTTCTGATAGGGAATTACTCTTTGAGATTAGGACACAGACATTTTAGTTATAGGGAGTAGAAGACTAATAAACATGAATACAAATTTGAAATGGATGAAATACTTGTTCTGGTGCATTTTCAAGATAATTAGTTCCCATTTTGTTTGCATGTCCTAGAGATGACTTATTTTCCGATAATTACTTTTCATGATTTTAGATTTCACAGAAGTATGATTCACAGAAGTGCAGGGACTCCTTTTACTAAAATGACCTTGAAGAACAGATCTGTTTCATTCTGTGCTTAATCTCTTCCTTTCCCAACTCCTCTTACCACTTTCAAGAAGCCAGAACCATCAGCTACGTTCCCTCTGCAGGCTCCAGGCTCCTGCCAGCTCAACTGCCCTGCAGATGGTGGCCAGAAGCAAAGCTCTTTGCAGGGTTTGGGCACCAGCTTGTTCTAAATGTTACTCAAAAATCCTAATCTGAGTCTTGGTACCAGATATCCATTCATTTATTAACAACAAACACAGCAGACAACTAATGCTGCACTTTTTCTGTTATTCAAACCTGCTGCTAACAATGAAGAAGATGATGTCATTCCCTGGATGTGACAAAGGACTAATATTATATGCAGTAAAAACAATGAGTCAACAGTTTCTATGCCCTTGAGGTCAAAGCATTCAGCAGTTTTGAAAGTAGACTGTTCTTTTTTTGCGCACAGAGCTTGTAGTTGTATATTAATACAAAACGTGTGAAATCAAGACATTGATTTAAAATGACAATTAAAAAAATTTTGTTTAGTTTCAAAGAGAATGTTTCAAACTAAAAGCCCAATTGAACTACCTTATAACATAAAGTAATTGATAATTTTTTTCCCCAGATATGTTAAATATAACATTGCAAAACACTTCTCTTTTTTAGGTCAAAACCATATTATCTATGTTAAGTTATAATTTGTATGATCCTGAGAGGCACTCTGCAGTTCCCAGTAACAGGAGTATGAACTATGAGTATTAATGCGTAAGTAAATAATATGAAATTTTCTGGAGATATTTTGTAATGGCCTGAAAGATAAGAAAGACCTTTAACATGAAAATGTGTTTTGACAGATAACTGAAAGCAAGCTGTGTAACAATCAAAGTTTCCCAGATTTTCTGGAATACATGATTGACCAAATCCTGGCCACCTTTAACCACAGCTGCATCTAGCTCAGGGTAGTGCACGAAGTGTTGTGTTCATGCAGATCCTTCCTTCAGCAACTCTGCAACCATTATGAGCATTATTATCCTCCTCATACAGGCAGTGAATCCAAAGCACAGAGAAGTGACAGCTCAAGATCATTTAAAAGTCAGGAGATTTTGGAAAAGAACCCAGATTTCTCAATTCCTGTCCAGCACTCTGCCCACTGGGCTCCATTGCCTCACTGAGCATCTGCCTGATACAGCTCCTTTTCCAAACAAGACAAAATTTAACAACTTTGAGGAGTTTTCAGTTCACCATATTGTTGTCTATAATAGTTTTATTTTCTGAAAAAATAGACTTGCCTAAATAGATCGAGTTCAAGTGCAAGGGAATCCCAGGCCAGATGCAGTCTCCATTCCTGTCGTCCTTCAAATTTAGAGACAGGAGAGCAAACTGGATTATATCTAGATGGGCTTCTATGCAGGAAGAACTATCATTTTGCCTGCATTGACGCTATCTGTCTGTGTTTTGGATTAAAATAAGCCTTAGTATGGAATAAATAATATTCATCATCCTGACAATTAACTGAAATGAAATCTTAGACTCTGAATCCCAAGGAATTTCTTCTGGCACGCTGACAAAGTGCTGGACAAAGTCTTCTCAGTTTATGCTGATCACTTTAGTGTGTCACCTAAAATAACTGCAGTGGGTTCAGGCATAGCTTGTGCAGAAGATCCCAGGCCCAAGTGATTACTTACCCCAAATGTGGAGAGCACATCTGGCAGCCTGGCTTGGCAGCATCCTGACAACTTTATTGAAGAAGTAAACGCAAGAGGCATGGCTCAGGCTGATCTGTTAACTCTCATGTCTTCTGATGCTTCAGAAACTCTTACCTTTTAGACATTTAAACCAAATATTTAAGACCTAAAGACATCCCAGGTGTTTTTGGGGTTCTGTCATATGGCTCAAGTGAGACCAGGAAGCTCCTGAGTTCCCCAGCAGCCACAAGGACTCCAGGACTCCACGTGGCTCCTCACAAGTAACAGAACTCAGTGCATTTAGTGATGAGGACTTGTTAGAGCATTTCAATTGCAACATAGACATTTCCACCAAAAATTATTCATAAACTCAAACAAAATCAGACAGATTTGAGACAAGGCAAAATAAAGAGACTAAAGTAACTTACAGAATTTTCTCTGGATATCTCAAGCTAATTACAAATCCTACGGTGTGCAGAGCCTGGTATTTTCATTTCCACAGACCTGATTTCGATGTCATGTGAGGGAGTGATGAAATACATTTCCCATGTGAAAAAGACAGACATTAGTCTCCTTTTCAAGCTGTGAGATATTTTTGCAGGCAACAAGTCTTACTGTCTAATGAAAGTAAACACCAGAATGTACTGCAGGAAGATTCGCACATGCTGCAGCCATGTAGGTGTGCTGTTCAACTCCAGTCACTCACACAAACACAAATATATTTAATTATATTAAAGTTATTACTGGTTTATGTAATATGTAGATTTATGAACTACAAACAAAAATAGAGGCTCATATCCTAGTGTATTCCAAGAAGGCATCTTCACCTGACCTTTGTTTTTAAAGCCCTAATCCCAGCAATCAACTGTGAAAACTTTCTTAACATTAAGTACTCTTAGTACGATTGAAGCTGTTTCTTTGTTAAACAGGATAACAGAAGTTTAAACTAAGGACAGAGATTCTTATTCAGGAAAATAGTAAAGATCATAATTAAAATTAAACATGTCTTAATATTGTCTTGTAAATCAAAGCTTACCTAAGCAGGTGACGCTTCCAAAAGAATATTATAATGAGGCTGCCAGAATGCAAAGGCATGTTACGAGGCATCAGCAACATTATTATTTAAAATTTTTGTGCATATGAGGTCTGACAAAACTATACTTTTGTTCAATGTTAGACTGTCAGCACAAAAATATCAGATCAGTAGCATTTATAAATTTATAAAGACAAATGTATTCTTTATGTTAAATAACATAGATAGAAAACAATAAAAAGTTTTTCATGAAATCATGAAGCAAGTCATTGGGCTTTGGGCTATTTTGTGTATGTGTTAATCACATCCCCATTAGAACTGTCAGTAGGTCAGTCCTTTATTATATGTTGCAGTGTCTGTTTAGAACCTCATTCATAACTATCATTTCGACAAACCAATTTATCCAGTATAGCATCGTATTATTGATCTGCAACAGTATTACGAGCACGGATATAGATTTAGCTATGGTCCGGGCCAAGGTCGGAGCCAATCTGTTCCTGAATTGCAAGACTGGGTTGGGAATGTTGGATGGAGGATATCCTAATGTTAGACAAGCAGCTAAATGGGTATGGTGAGTGGGTTTTCTTACTAAGCTGAAGAAATAGGGCAAGATTTTAGTTGGGATAATTTATTTTCTTGCAGGAAAATCTGCCCTATCAGTTAGATGGAATTATTAGCCACTCACAGCATTCTTCACAGCTAGAATGGTATTACTCATTCTCCTTAACAGAAACCTAGCACTGTGGTTTCGGTGACACATTGAAAACTTATTTTGATCTTTCTTGTGCTTTCATATGGCAACGTATTGTCTCCTTCTTGATCTCGGAATAATGTCCATACTGAAAAAAATAAAATTAAAGTGAATAAAAGTTGATGTGGATTTCTTTGTAAATGGTGGTTATGGGCTTCCCACAATGAATCGGGTTTTTCTCCTGAAAGTCTTCTATGTACTAGTTAGGAAATTGTCTATATTATTGCAAACGCTGTATTACGTATGAGAATAAAATATTGCCCTTTAAACAGGAGTGGATGTTATCACTTCAAATGTGCTTATATGTGTTTCCTGTGCTTAGATATAGCCCAGCAATAACAATACCACAATTACCAGAATGTATAATCTATAATGTGGCCCTGTGTAAATCAACACACAGCTGAAGGCGTCGCACACATCCTGCAGGATACCACTGCCACTCTGAATTGTTTCCGGTTAACGCTGTGCATCTGCAGGATGATTTCTGAGCCCTGCTCAGGCTGACTCCGAACTTACAATACTGGAAGTTACCTCCTTCTAGTAAGATCTAGGTATAGACACAGAGCTGAAATATGTTTTGTTCATGATTGCCTAAATGGGAAATCAGAAAACCAGATTTAGAGGAAAAACAGTTTGGCTATTTTAAAAATATTTACAGGATTTCCAGAAAGGGTGCAAAAATCATTATAAATATTATAAATATTGCAAGGGAAAGTGTTTTGGATCTCAATTCAGTTGTTAAATTACTAAAATAATGCATACCTGGGGTTTACATAAAGTGGAGACTTAAATGTATGATCTCAGATGCTCTGTCATTCCCTTCAGAATAGAGCATAATTTCTTCTCTATGTAAAATATCTGAAAAAATAAACATTTTTGAAAGCAATTTTACAAAGTCAAACTAAAAATGAAGTCCAAACTAAACCAGAAGTATGTCATTTTCATTGCAAGACACATTGCAGCCATACATTCAGAACAATCTTACAGGAATACTCTGACAAAGGCTCTGTTGTGATTCAGTTAGTCCAAACTAACTGGATAGACTCAGAAATTAAATCTAGTTGGCCTGTTCAGTGACTTTATATTTTTAGTTAGTTCTCAGATTCTGACTTTTCCAAACAGATCTTAAAAGCAATACAAAGTTTTAAAATACTGTAAAGCATTTTAATATAAAATTTAGAGATCTGTTCCTTAAAAAAAAAAAAAAGAAGTGTCTTGTGTTATTTGACAGCTTTTAGAACTGGATAAATAAGAACTGGACTCTAACTCTCATTCTGCATTATAACTGGGGGACAAACCATCTTTCCTGAGTATATATAATTTCCACTGAGTCTCTTACAACCCACCAGAATTTTAGTATGTTTTAAAATAATAATATAGCAATATGGAGAAATATATTATGCAAACACTGTTATTCTTCTTGTTCTGATACTGGTCTACCATACCAAAGAGAGATTCTAGCTGGAAGAAACAATCAGTGCAGTGCTTGTCTGAAAGGTATTTCGAATTATCCCTTTTTCTTCCTGCTTTTGGTACAAAATAATGTGATGAATAAACAACTTAATTTATCCATTGGAGAAGCTCACAGAGGGTATATCTTGTATAAACACGCATACCTGTATTGCAGAGGTCACTGAGGGGAGCAGGGCAGGTGTGCAAGAAGCAACCATGGCCTTGTGGCCAAGGGTAGCTGAAGAACTAACACACACAGTCAGGGAGAAATGACCAAGGCCTTCTGCACTTCAGCTCTTCTGGGACATACAGGCCCGCTATAAAACAGTGCAGTCATTCACACCCATTCAAACAAATTTTTCCTGTAAGTTTTATTGCCTTTTCTGTATTGGGTGGTACATCTGACATCTTACATTCCCTGTTATTGCCTTTTACTTTTTCTAGTCTGATCTTGTGTTGAAAGATGCTCATAAACTTGATCACTTGTGCTAAACACAGTTTGGGATGGCTGCCTTTTTAACTATGATTGAAGGAAAAATACTACTGAATTTACCTGTATACATTAATCCAGATGCTCTCACAGCAGGGCCCTCTGTTAGCACTTCATACCCCTTTGGAATTAAGTCAACTGTACATTATTATAAGACAAGGAGCTTGGCTATCCCTTGCTGTAGAAAAACTTGGAAAATTAGGGTCTGATGTGCCACAGCCACACCAGGGTAAGTGCATGGAAGCTGAAGTTGCAGATGAACTATTCTGCTTGTCAGGATTTGGCCTGACTCCTGGGGTATTGCTGAAGTGATCTACATATATATAGGACACATCCATGGAGCACAGCATGGATAACCCTGCCTGAACACACACAGCTCTTCATCAGTCTGTCTGCTTAACCCTGAGCTGTCTTTTCCTTTTTGTACATGATCTGGGATGGACACAGGTCTGTGAGTGCTGCTCCCACTCAGCAGGCAGACCCATCTCTGCTCAACAAGGGGTTTAAAATAAAAACTTGCAAACCTGTGACACTATGCTTATGAAATAATTATTAATTCTTTAAAGGTGCAGATACTTTAGTTAGTTGCAAAAAGCAGGTAGAATTAGCAAATTATATTTGCCTTATTTATTGCTAACTTCTTAGCTGTGGCACCACCTTGTGGACGTTACTACACGGAGTGAGAACTTAAAAAATGGCAACGAAAACAACTAAAACAGGCATTGTGGAAAAACAACTAGAGTCACACATGATTTGCTAAAGCAGAGTAAAATAACAAAGTAAATTATTTCTAAAAATCCACTTAGGAGATAAAATGTATAATAAATACTGTCATCAGGGTACTCAGTTGTCTTTGCAGCTTTTACCAACTCTTCTGCACATCAGCCAAGGAAAGGGGCAGCCTTCAAAACTAATTTTGTTCCTTCTCAGAACCCCAGTTCTGTTGTTGCTGTATAAGCAGACATGACTTTTGCAACTATCCCAAGCAACGAGATCTGCAAAGTCAGAACCATAATACTGAACACATGGAGAAAACCTTGGGTCCTGCTCCATAAATGTAAACTCAGCAGTGAGATTGGTGTCCAAGCTAAGCCAAAAGAAAAATAATCTCTGACAAAGACAAACTGGTGGGTCTTTCAAATGCTCACTGAAACACAAACCAAACAAAAATAAATTTAAATTCCAGTCTGTTGGTCATTAGATTCCCAGAACCTTTCACAGTTGAGGTAACAGGGTGTTCCTGTTATGAACACTCCATCTGCTGTACATCTAAAAAGATGAAACAGCTTATGCTACTAAGTTTTTTTCCCTTGGGATATTCATACAGTAAATATTACAGTTATTTTACTTTTTGTACTCAGTAATAACCTACTATAAGTGCACTGTTGGGAAAAAATACAGGGCTTTCAAACTCTTAGTGATTATTCTTATAGATTGGCTGTTGTTTTCAATTTAATTTAATTATTTATTTCTGAAAAAACAAGGCATTGGCTACTCCTTATTCACACTGAGTGCAGAGATTCTCTTTCTCCTTAGGCACCATCAATGTAATTCTATTCCCCATTGCAATCAGATGCATAGTGCAGACTTATTAATGGCCTCGGATGTTTCTGGATGGAAGTTTTCATCCAGAAAATTGCAGGAGCAGTTACTGTAAACATGGGGTGAGTGACACAGAAGAGACTGAACCAAGCTTATTCTTATATTGAATTCCATTTATAAAAGTATCTTATTTCTTATTTTTTTGAGCATATGTAAATGTTATTTTTGTGCCCATCACATTCTGCTGATTTGCTTTTAGGAAAGAAGCTAATAAGCTGTGAGGCAAAAATAGCTTTATATCTCCATAATGGTATTTTCTCCAGAGACTTGGAACTCCCTTGAATATTTTAATTATCTCTTTCCTAAAAGTCAACAAAGTAGTATGGCACTATATTAAAATAATTTTCTTTGGGTTTCTGCAAGAACTGATTTCTTGCTGAATTAGCATATCAACCGGAAAACCAATTTCCACAGCATCAGTGACCTTATGTCACTTTATGTATTACAGAAGCGAGAGAAGCGGTTTCAGAGGGCTGCAACAGTTTAAAATTATTCCCTATAAACCCACTTATTGAACTGACACGTGCAGGAGGCAAACCCCTGAAATTATGTTGCTAATCTACGTGGTTTAGAGGCAGATTTCTGCATTTTCAAATGTTGCACCCACTGACACAGAACTGTGGTGGGTATTAGTAGAAAATGGGATGGAACAGGCAGAAATTTGGTCAGGCTGGAGAAAATCCTGTGAGGGAGAGAACGAGTGAGAAAGCAGCCAGAACCCCCAGGGTAAGACCATGGGGTACACAGCCCTTGTGTGGGGGAACAAAGGGGGCTCCTACCACAGGGAAAAGTAGAGAAAGGGACCAAACCTTACGTGAAAGTTTCAGGAAGTCCTTTAACAAGAGGAGAATTTTGAGGTGACATTCAGAAAGTCTGAAAAAGGGATGGATAAACCCGGCCTCCTCGAGCCCAAATGCAGAACCAATCTGGTCTACAGAAAAACAAAGTGCCCAAGTCTCTAGCTATCAAAAGACAAGGTAATAATATTATGTTATTTAATACTTTTTTTTCAGGGAATGAAAGTCGCATAAGCTTCTATGCTTATTAGACATTAGATTTAATTTCCCTGAGAAATGGGTGACTTGGAGCTAAGCCAGGCTTTGATAGATGAAATAGGTTATACATTTATAAAAGGAAAACAGAACAAGTAGGAACTGCTGCTGGAGGTGCCAATTTAAAGTAATACTGTCTCCACCAAACCCCTAGTCACACGAAGAGACTATAGAGGAGCCTGAATCAGAGGAGATATGCTGTAAAAGCATTAAGTCAGGGAAAAGTGGTGGCAGAAGACAGCAACTTATGATTAAGTGTATTTGACCTTCATGTGTTATTTTTGTCTGAAGTCTTAATTTTGTGGTTTTGGGATGGGCTCATCCATAGCAAAATTTGACATCTCATAATTATCAGAGGTGCTATTTATCCATTTATGTCTTGGTCTGTCAGTCTCAAAGTGACTCCATGTATTGATAAAGAAACAGGTTATTTACTTATTGTTTCACTTGCTGAAGTGCAAACCCAAAATCAAATCAAATGCTTTATTATCTCTTTGTCTCCTAATTCCTTGTGCAACATTTCTCATTTTCTTGTTTTCCAGTGTGCTTTCCTTTTTATTCTTAGAGGCAACATGAAAGACAAAGAGTTTTCAAAAGAAGGAGGATCTGGGAATTCTCAATACTGCAAGTCAGTTTGTTGGCATTTTCATGACGAAAACCCACAGGTGAATCTTCTTACATTATCTTTGCCTTTCCACATAAATCTTGTTGTTTTAAAACTATGAAGGCCTTTTTTGAATTTAATCTTTGTTCTTATTCTGAAGGTGCTGTAAGAATAGTTACAAACTAAGTGCCATAGAATATGCAATGCAATACATATTTTGATTTTACCTTGCTCAAATTATGATATTCTCAACTCCTTGAGACATAGTATGAGCTTATTACTGAATATGTCAAAATACATTTTAATTTATTAATATCAGTACTAGTAAGGAAAGAAATTGTGGAGCAAATCAACAAATAAATTCTGCACCATAAAGCTCCAAATATTAATTTCTAGAGTAAAGTATGTGATAAGATTTTACAGAGCAAGATTAAACTAAAATATGTGTGCTCAGATAGAGAGAGGTTGTTACCATCTGCAGTCCAGCTGAAGTGAGAGAACATTATGGGTATTCAGTGTCATTAAGACCCAAGTCATGTCTATATTTGTATTTTTAAGTGGAATATCACTCTGATGAGACATTCAAAATATTTAGCAGCTCTCATTATGCCTTTTCTGGGCCTCAGCCATCTGGATGGATTTCTAGGGTCACAGCCTTTGCTCTCTTTAGGATTCCTACATAGTTGAGTTCCAGCTAAAATGCTGAAAAGACATAACCAAACTGCTTCAAATATTCACAGTCTGGAAGCACCTCTGGAGATCATCCAGTCCAAACCAGTCCAACACAAAGCAGAATCACCCAGAGCAGGCTGCTCAGGAGCGCGCCCAGTTGGGTTTTGAGTATTTTCAAGAACATCAACTTCAAAACCCCTTAAGGCAGCCACATGACAGGTGCTCCTCTTAATCATCTTCATGGCCCTTTCCTGCTCTCACTCCAGTATGTCCATGTCCTTCTTCTTGTGAGGAGCCCAGAGCTGGGCACAGCACTTCCACTGAAGTCTCACCAGTGCTGAGTAAAGGAGAATAATCACCTCCTTTGATCTCCTGGCAATACTTTTCCTAAAGCAGTCCTGGATGCTGTGGGCCCTCTTTTTCAAGACATATATGTTTACAGATGTAACAGAATTTTAAGGACATGACAAGTTTTATATTTCCAGGGTCTGCTATCTATCAGGGCAATACAAACTATATTACTCTGCTAATACATGCTTTATGTCAGTATCAAGGATTGTATTTATGTTCTCATTACATGCTTTTCTTAAAAAACTGGCCCATTAAAACCAGTTGTTTGGGATGACTACATAGTGCCTTGTAAAAACATCTGTGCACAGATTGCTAAAGGTAACACTGAAAACTAAGTGCAGATCAGGGCATCTTTGTAGGAATGAAGGCATCCTGGAAAACTGCAATTCTAAAGAATAGGAATTCTCAATTTCATCATGTTGTTAGTGTTACGATCTAAAGATACCAGATTAATTACTATTATGTTTAACTCACAGATAACCTTTTGTAGCAGTAACATCCAGCTCATAAACTTCCACAGTTTCCAAAGGTGCTCCACACTACATCAGAAGCCAAAAATCCAGTTTCTCCCTAATGTATTCCTGAGAACCTTCCACTTCCTCTGCAGCTGCCACAGTGTAACTGTGGACAATCCACTTATGTATTGACGATACACAAATTTTCTGTGGAGAAAAGTCCATAGATTTTCCAGTGGGTCCTCAGGCAGCCTAAAGAAATGAGACTTCTATTAGATTTGTTGTTTGTCTTGGCAAGGAAGAGAGCAACCTTGTTCTTGAAAAATCTACATTTAGCTCCCCATCTATAAACAATTTTCATCAGTTCTTCCATCTGCAGTATAAGTCTTTGTTTGGCAAACAATTGCAGTGTTTCTTGTTATACATGTCAAATTGTTTCTGTTCTGCATGAGCTATGATGACTTAAAGACGAAAGTTTCATGTGGTGGAAGGAGTTTGTTCCCTCTGAATCCAGCAGTACCTTTATTGCCCTGGTTGGCCCATTATTTCTTTGCATTCCTCATAGTCTGTGGCTGCAGAAAACAGGAACAATTAGGTGAAGCAAAACTCCTCGCCATTAGTGACATACCAGTACACGAGCCAATACACAGTCTAGCTAACGTCCTTTTACCTTCTGGAACAGTTTAAAGCAGGATGCAAAATATTCTTCCAAAAATATACAAAGTCATTTCCATCCATTTTCCTATAAAGCTATGCCAAAACCCTGGGAAAGCCTTTTGACTCCAGCCTACATGCTCAAAAGAAAACTTAGGAGACTGGCAAAAACCCACAATATAATTAGGACAATGCTGGGACTCAGATTAACATTATGAAAAGCAAACACCTTTCATACCACTCCCAGTTCTCACATATCCGTGCTGAAGTGACATTAAAATTCAGATGCAAGTAAGCAGAGTAGCTCTTCCCAAAACAACACTAGATTGGCCCAGGTGGCCACAACCTGCACGATTTTTCATAGACTGACTTTCAAACTGCCTCATAGCTGCCTCTTGGTCTCAGAGATGTTGAATATCTTTCTCAGCTTTTTCCAATGCAGACCAGATGTTCTATTGTGATAATTCTCTCATGGGCCTTTTCCATTTTGACTCTCCATCAGCTAGGGATCCAAAGAGACATTACTTGAAAAACAGGAACCATAAAAGAGCCAGGAACTTATAAATTAAAACATAAACATTAATTTGTTTTCCAAAATACAGATGTCTTTTGTCAGTTCAAGCCTTGATCTCTCCACCAGTTAAAGGCAGCAGTTGTTCTGTGGAGGCATGTACTGGAAATTAGCCAACGGGCATTAACTTTTGGTTCTGATTGAACTGAGGAAAATTTGAAACAGAAACACAGAATTAAAAGTTGTGATAGTAATTATTGTCTGATAACATTTTTAAATGCTCATGACGTTAATACCAGAAAAAGTGTCTTACCATAAGGAACTGTAAATTACTGAAGTTTTTGGACAAGGCTCTTTGATGATGGCAGGGGCCTTTCCTTCTCCTCACCTCACTGACCTGTTAAGGCTCAAGGTCCAGGATCCATCCCTGGGGAAGTGGATCCTATGCTGGTGACCAATGCAATGGGATTACAGCAATGTGGCACCACCACAGCTCCAGAGGAAGGGACTGGGCTGGAAGAGGAAGGGGCAGACACTGACACAGCTTTAAAAGAACACTTCCATACATTACAAACACAAGTGCTCAAGGTTCAACTGCATATATTTTGTAATTACATAACACATCAAGCCTTGTTTTCAAAAGGCCACTGAAAATTCATCTTTTTTAATGCTAAATCACTTGATATATCAGTATTATTACTATATCTTTTAACATTTTTATATCAATAAAAATTTAATATGAGAATATTTAAAATAGCAGAAAGGCTAGAGGCAACAAAAGAAAACACCTTAAAAATGTGCATAATAAGGAGATAAGGATGAAAAGTTCCTTTCTTTTTTTAACATGACCTACTTGTGCACTAATTTTTTATCTTTAAAAAGTAGCAATTCACAAGTCACACCTCTTCATTCCCTTTCAAATCAGTTTTATACACCTACACAATTCTTCTGACAGTGGATTACTGCAGGTGTACACTTAAATTTGGAGTTTCCAGTCCTGTTGTATTTTCTTGATAAAATCTATTAGTACAAGAGATTCATATTACTCTGCAACTTTCAGCAATTAACCTCTCTCTTTATGATACACTGCAACTGAATATTTTATCCTACATATTAGCTGTACAACAGATTACTCTTCATGATGTAATCAGTCTCCTCTTCATATAGGCATATACAAACAACTATAATTTCTAATACAATCCACTATAAAAAGTATCACTGAATGTTTGCCCTTGTCTTATACTCCTCCAGAGACTTCTGCTTTTACCAACACTGGCTTTTTCTAGAGCCTTCTGCTCAGTATAAGGCAATTGTTTGTCCTTTATACCAAGGCTTGTCCTGTCTCTGTACTACAAGGAACTCACTTGGTGGAGCAGGGATTCTGAGCAATCATTATTCCCTCACTGGAATAAATCCTTGCTTTCCACCACCATTTTATTACAAGCTTTACATATTCATTTTCTTTTCCCAGGCTACAGCTTCTCCTCTAGATTTCACACCATACTAATATCTGTCTGTACTCCTACTGCTGAATTGTTTGTGCTTCATTATTTAAGTGCAGGGAATTCTAAGTAGCTGTTCCCACTTCATATGCTCTTCCCTTGAGGGGTGAACTACCCTCTGCTGTTCCCTGTCTCTCAAGGAAGAAACAACTTCCATGGAAAGGAGACGCAAAACTTCTTTCATGGCTTCACACCAAGAAAGATTTTGATTTTGACTGCACATGCTGGTCCCAGCAGAATTTGCTCTGAGGTAAAATTTAGTCCTCTATATTGCAGAAGTTCTAATATTCTCTTCCCTAAGGAGCAGACTGAGATAAAAGCTGGGAATATGCATTTTTCTCAAAGGTTTTGCCCTAGCTCACACAATTCCTCAAAGATGCCCTTCACCAAAAATGTAGAATTCTATTCCAAAAGAGGCTTTGGATTGCTAAGAGAAACAAAAGGAGTCAGTCAGGAACTCCTCAGCATCCACAGACGTTTCTGTAAATTTTTAATACTATGTTGGTAATAAGCATTCATAATTTTATCTGTTAATTTATTAGGAGCAGTGACTAACAGTGACTAAGTAGTGACTTTTTTTGATCTATATATGTTAAAAAAGAGTTGTGTTTATAAAATTCCCAGACTACTGAAGGATGAAAATCTAAGTATTTTGATTCAATATGAAGTAAACAGTTATTTTAAACTTGAAGTCTAACGTGGCAGATGTGCATTCACTTCTACAGATAATTTTAAGTAATAAAATTCAAACTATTATTGGTAAGAATTAGGAAATTATTTCCTGCCTTTGTCATGTCCAGATCACAAACTTTTGTCTCTTTTTTGATCCCCATGCTTAGTCAGACATCCACTTGTAGGAATAGCAACCTCTGTTCTCCTCCCAACAAAGGGCTGGTACAGCACCCTATTCACACACCCTAATCCTTTTTATTCTCCTCATCCCTTCAGAGTAAGCCACTCCAACCAGCATTCCCTGGGTACATTGCCTTCACAGAAGAAGTGGTTGCATTTTCAGCTGGAGGTGTTTCAGCAGGGAGGCACTTCTCCCAACCCTTCCCTAGATGTCGCCACAATTTCTGGCTACTTCGTTACAGCCCTAATTACTAAATGGAAAACTATCATATAGGTTCCTGTTTTCTTCATATAGAAGAAACAGAAAACTGTATCTTCAGAACGACAAAAAGATGTTTAATGTCATACTGAAACTTGAAAACAGCTTTTAACACAGCCTTGTTTTCACACTCTTTTTACCTCCCTAACACTCTGCCTACCAAGTACGTTGGCTCATTGAGTCTGGAGCTGCTTGACCTTTTCCGTTACTTTGTGCTGGAACAAACTATCTCCTCAAGGATATTTCCAAGGTTTCCAGATTCAGCTTTCATTCATGCTTTGCTATTTTTTCTCTCTCCACAATTTTTTTCAAAGAATGCCTTTCTGCCTTTATATGATTTTGCTACCCAAAGACTCATTTATGCTACACAAATACTATAGGACACAATTCTGTGAGTTCAAGGCAGGATTCAGGCTTGTTAGTGTTTTAGCTGAATCATACTGAGTTCGGGGGACAATATCCTTGTTTCCATCCCTATTTTTCACCTCTCTGTAATTCACTGTTTTGTTCCTGTGGAAATAGCCTTCAAAAAGCATATGCTGATTTCTACTTGTGAGTGAACTTTCCATATTGTCCAGAAATATGAAGACTCTCCAGTTTATTACAAAGACCACCAAAATATCTTCAGATTTCCTAAGTATTTCAAATCTGTTGTGCTGAAGTAGTCATTGGTTGGTTGTCCACAAGATGGGGCTTCTACAACAGAGATCTTTGCATCCAAATTTAAGATTCGGATGTGAAAGCTATGAATGGCATCGCAGTTGACAAGAGCATATTTTCAAATTTTGGCACAGGAATGGTCCTCACAAAAGGAACTGCACTCCTCATTTATTGTGTAAAAACGATAATCCCTCAGGAAATCAAAACAGCAGCAAGTGATTTTATCTTGTCCTTAACCCTTGCACTGTGCTGGTGTACAGTTTATAAGTCACAGGCAATATGCACATTACAATCAGCCCGTGTCTGGCACAGATTCTGTGTGGTCATCTACACCTACACGTGGTTTTGTGGAACTGTACACAGACCAAAACACCAAATGAGTATGTGGCTTTGAGATGTTTTCTAAGTCAATATATAGCCTAACAGTTGAATTTCTAAAACAGTGTGCAAGTCCTCTGTTAAGATGATAACACTCCCAAATGAAAGTTAAAGTAGCTCCACAGAGTGTGTAATTTCTATAAACTTCCTATAAACTGAAAGAGGGAACAGTTTGCTAACTGTTAACTAACTGTAGGCATGCACTTCAAAATAAATTAAAAGAAAAATATTCTTAGACACAAAAATTTTGAAACATTAAAAAATAGCAATAGACTTACATTACCTTCAGCTGTCTTGTTTCACTGTGTGGGAAGTGTTTGTTTAAACAGTATGTGATTTGTTCTTCTAAAAAAAAAAAAAAGGTCTCTTTCCTCTTTTGTCATGTAAGTAAACAATCAAGATTTTAATGTCTTATAGGAATCTCCCAACCAAAACCAGGACAGACTAAGAGATTGTACAATTACCTTCTTGTATTCCTTCTCATAGTACTAGAGACATCAGGTAGACCTAATTTATGATCATTCCTGTTTTCTGCATGATGTAGTTGTTTTCTAGAATTTTTTGCAGGAAAGACAGTATTCCATCAAACCACAGAAGTGTTTGGGCATGCAAAAGCAAACACTGGTACAAATTTCCAGCCTGTCCCTCCCAGAGGAGGCTGTACCCACACAGACTAATGAAAAAATAAAACTGAATGTTAAGAAGAAGAAACATTTCTGGCCAGACGGTAAAGCTGATTTCCCAGAGGCAGTCATTCACAATCACCTAATACTTTTAGTACAAAATCTTCAATGGTTCCTTCTCACATTCCTTCTGTTCAGTCTCCAGTAACTTGTCTGCTGCAATTCAGCTGGCTAAGCTGTCACAGACCAGACTTTCAACAGGAATGCAAAACAGCACCCTTCAGAATAATCATCTGGAGAAGCATAAAATAAGAAAATCTGAGTAGGCAGGAATTACACAGAGAAGGATAGGGAGTGACAGGCTCTCCAAACTGCAGTCAATGATGTATTATGAAAAAGGAAGGACACCAAGTTTGATAAATGGCCTTTTTGCACACACTAAATAATACTCTCTTTACTCAACGCTGAGGTTTTAACTGGAGTACTCTGTCCAGCTTGGGATGCCACACTTACCGGAAAAGTGGACCAAAGAAAGAGTCTGCAGGACAGTGAAACATATGGGAGATTTACAAATCATGATCCATAAGGAAAGACTGAAACAAAGCACCATAACAGTCTTCAGGGATCTAAAATTTCTGTAACAATGCCAACAGGACACATAATGAAGAGTTTGACTTGTAGCAAGCTTACAAATGAAGAGAAAATGTGAAACTGGAAGGGATTAGAACACAGTACCTGTAGCCGTCATTCAGTATCCAAACAGTTTCAACGGTTTTCTGTCAAGGAATGATGAAGATGTAGATGATCTTGGACTGGACAGAGTTGTCTGCGAGAGGGTCACACTCCATAGGTTCTCATGAATCCTTCCATGCATCACTTGATCACTCTGTTATTGCAGAAGACCTATAGCAGCTACCTACAGGTACAAAACAAAGATTTTAGGCTACAGGAAAAATGGTGAAAATCAGAGAAACAGGAAGACTTAGAAGAGGTGAACAAGAGGTGTTTTAAGTTGTGCAGCAGAATATATATTCAACTTGGACAAAGGATAAATTCTCCAATTCTGTTTCAAAGAGATACAAGAATTTTGGGTACTACCTTACTGTTGCAGCAACGTGAAGGCCTTGTGAGGAATAAAAAGTCTCCAAGATAAATGTCAAATTCGGATGAAACAAGATCATGTACAACTTCATACCCCTCAGCAGTTGAGGTAATTCTGGCTTTTAGACCTGCTACTTCAAATGTCTATCTTTTCCCACACCTTGGGCAGAATATCCCTGAAGCTGCAGTGACAGTACCTGATGACTAACAACTCTGGCTAGAGCTCGCTCCTTGCAGGTTCAGGAAGTACTTACACGTAGCAAAAAGTGAAGAAAGACCAACACTTCAAATAAAATTTAAAAATAAATTAAAATTTAAAAGATTAGTTAAACCACAGACTTCTGTGTATTGACTATCAACACTTGTTGAGTGCCAGCCCAGTATTCCAGTCCCAAAGCTTGTCAGGAGGACATGTCAGCAAGTCACACGCTGGCTCAAACACAACAGTTATCCTGCAGAGCCTGTGATTTCTTAATATTCTGCTATTGGAAATGTCACCATCCATTCCACTTTCCTGATTTTTTACCTAATTTTTTCTTACTGGCATTTTCTAAGGGCATAGGAAAGAGTGAGAATCAAAACAACACAGCAATAAAGCATCTGTTGTAAATCACCTGAGAGAAACAAAACACTGTAAACCAGCCAGGAACTTTATGGGTTATCTCCATATAATCTACTGCAACTAAAACCATTCCTGAGACATGTGACCTAATCGACCTTTCAAAGCCTTCAGTAAACGAGATTCCCAGATAATCATTTTCAGTGCCAAACTACTTTTGCAGGTTGAAATAATTTCCTAATGTCTACCTTAAATCTCCTACTCCAATTTCATCACCTCTTGCCCTAGACCCACTGAACATAAAGAAAAACTTTTTCCTTCTCTCTGCAGAGAAACATTTTACATTTTGGAAGATCATTACTGTTTTTCCCAACACTTTCATTTTCTTTAAACTAAACAACCCCAATTCTTTCAGCCTTTCCTCTTAGATCATGTTTTATAGGTCTCTGATCATTCTTGAAGTTGAGACTGTGGTAACACACGGTACACAGAGAAAAAGGAAAATGAACTCCTACACAAAATTCACCAGGAAGCCGGGTGACAGAGGGTTTGTTTGAAGAGGTTACTTTTTTATGATGACTGTTTGCTTTGTTGTTTGGGTTTTTTTAGTGCCAAAATACATGTCCTTTTTCTTCTTTGTGACATACAGTGTAGGTGCCTCAGTGCACAGAATAGCAAGGCATTATACTCCTTGCTGAAAAAAAACATGCTGGATCTGGGGAAAAGAGTTATTATGGAAGGCAAGTTATTTTTGCCAATAATGGAAAACTTATCCTTACCAAGATAGTATCTTCAGGATAAATTAATTTAAGTGGTACTTGTGATACCAGGATAATTTAAGCAGAAGCTTAAGTAATTTTTAGAAACATGAGCAAAATCCTGCATCACAACATGCATTTCAGGGAAATATATTAGTTCCATAATTGCTTTCTAGAGCTGCATTCATTCTCCCTCAGAAAACAATATACAGTTGTAATATATACTGAGAAATGGTTCTATGGTTCAGCTAAAATAAACAAAACTAAAAACAATCTGATGTATTTTAGAAGATGCTATGTTCTTTATAATAAGATAAATTAATTCCGTCATTCCCATAATCAGATTCACATATATAATAGAAGAATGTAATTTAATTCCATTCTTCAGAGGTATACAAAGTCTTTTTTTTTCCAGAAGAAGGTTTTAAAATAGTACTGTGTCCCACTAACATTACCCGAGCAAACAGCACTACCTCTGAACCTCTGGGTACCATGGCATGGAGAGATCACTCAGAAGTTAACTGGGCTTCTGTATATGAATTGGGAAAACAATCTTATCCAGAAGAAAGATAAGACATAATAAGAGATGATAAGTGCCAGGAAAATAAGCTTGATGGAAAAAAAGGAAGTGAAAAAACTTTTCCATGCTGAGGACAGAAAAGGTCTTTCAAAAACTTTTACTGAGCATGACACATTAAATATATCCAAAATGTTGTCCAACAATAACATGACCATGGATCATGTAAAATGATGTCATTAAAGGGTCTTTTATCTATAAATGAGGCAATTTATGATGTCAATTTTGCAGAGAAACTATTGAGGTTTTACATTCTCAGTGGATTTTAGATTTTTAACTAAAAAAGAAATGGATTTCTTAGTAAGATAGTTCCTCATCTCTGGCTATCTCATAGAAGCCTTAGGAAAACAGCATTATGTAACTTGTCTCTCCTCATATCAAAAACCTACAAAATAAAACAAACTTTGCCTGCATACTTTAAAAACATTCTTCTTGAATTTCCATTTTGTTTTGAAAAATAGATTTCACTTAGAAGACGCTGGCTGCCAAAAAGTGGTTACAACTGACCTATGCATAACATTGTCATATCAAGATGTACCAGAACATGAACTCTGTACACTAGCAAATTTCAGACTATCCCCATTTCTACTCTGACAACAGATTACAGCCAACTGTTTAAATGTTTACAGGTGAGAAAAAGTTTCATTGACTTAGGTTGCCAGGTTGATGTTGGTTTGACACAAATTTTTGTATTTGCCTTCATCTTTTCTACGTGTAGTATCTACGCAGCCCTTCACCACTACAGGAATCTTTCCTCCTCTATAGGATCATATTAAGGCTCTAGAAAACCCAGTTTGATAACTACTTGTTCCCCAAACTAAGGAGAGGAAGTAAAAACCAGAGAGAACTGAAGTAATCAGTTAAACTGTCCCATGGTTCCGCTAGAACAAAGAAACTGTGCTCATAAATCACATCCTCTGATAAAAAAAAAAGAGACCGTACAGACTACTTGTGAGCTTCCAAATCTGTATGGAACAAGGACCTCCTGCAGCATGGACAGCTCCTAAACCAGGATCTGTTTTGGTTTGGCCTATACTCTGTTTGGTCCACAGTCACCTCTACTACTCTGCACATGCAAGGATCTGTATCTGTTTCCACAAAAGCAGATCCTTCTAAACAGCCTCTGTGCTTACCAACATTACCTACAAAGAGCAGGTACAGTGAAGTCTGCCAGGTCTGTTCAATCTCCTTCAACTTAGGAATGGTGAAAACATCTCATGTGTTCTCTGGACAAAAGACTCCCATCAACTGCTTATTGAGCAATAAGGACAGGTGACCTCTACCTTGACAAGCTCTTCAGTTGCTTTCTTGTTCCCAGCCTGCAAAAGAGGGTATCAGAAGGAGTAGGCTCACAGCCACACCATAGCATATGCAGGGATATTTAAAAACAACATTTGTGAACACAAGAATGTTTCCATTATCTGGACCACTGTACAACTTTTGAGCTGGTGATGCAAAGCCATTATTAACAACCTACCTGAAATAACAGGAGTGAACAGCCTAGAAAACCAGTGGCTTCAACCATCCCTACTTCCAAGAATCCAGGTATGACTGATAGTAGCTCCTTTTCATTTAGAGCTCTCACAGGTGCAGTCTGTTGTATTGCAAAGACAAATGTGAACTGCTGCTTCCTCTTTGGTCTCTGTGAGTCCACCATAAAAAGAAGATCTCTTCTGGCACTTAATAATTCTGCATTTTTTAAATGTGCCCAGATTTCAAGTGAGCACCTTGTACCTACCAATGGGAAAGTTTTAACTGGGTTTAGCAGTTATTCCTTTTGGAGATCTGCCTCAAGGTAAATAAATGCAACGTCTATACCATGGGACCCGGAGCATATCCCATCTATGTCCTGACTGTGTATCAGGATGAGACCAGGGACCCATGTTTGCACTCTGGTTTCCAAAGAAAGGAAATCTCAGCATGTCAGCCAGCAGAGAGGCACCATATGCTCCCACACGACCTCCTCAGATCAGGACTCCAAGCCACAGTGTGGCACATGCCTGTGGTCTACACTGAGCTACACCAATGACACAGGCCAAAGCCTCACAGAGAGAACAAAATATGAAATGTCATCTGAAATAAAGAAGTCTTTCTAGTTGCCCATAATCTCATTCCCAATGTTGCCACTGCACAACTGAAAATACCAACTGAAAATAGCACTGGAGTTTCACCACCAGGTTCTCACAGCAAACAGTTCTGACATTGCCTTAACCTTGAAACCAGGACTGGGTGAGGCTGAATCCTCTCCAACAACTGCTTGCCCAATTCTGTTAAACCAAGCCAGCAGACTCATAGGATAAACACGCAAATGAGCAAGTCATGTAAAACAGTCATTATTTACAGCAACGCACCATTGCAAAGGCTCTTTATCTTGAGCAACACTCACAATTCCTGCACCATTTTCAGTTTCAGTTTCCTAGAAAAGCCTGAAACTGTGTTTGAACACCATAAATGGCAGCAATGACAGATTTTGCACTGTGGTCGTTTAGCTAATCCATTGATAAGCAGCAAAACAAAACTCCCTAAACAGGGAGAACTTATATGGATAATCAGCAAAAAGTCTGTTCCCAGACTGACATCCACCAGCAAAGATTGTGGAGCCAAACTCGTCACTGTGAGTAGGTACTCTGACCCAGACAGCAGGTCTGGTGCAAAGCAGGGCCGACCTGTATCAGCAGAGAACTTGCTGATAAGAAGCAGCCACGCTGTACGGCTTTACAGACAGAACTTTCCAGCTGGTCTGCACCAAATTTGCTTCACTTTAAAAAATACTTCAGTTTAAAAAATGGATTTTAAAATGTTTTCCATGGCGTGGATCTGAAAGCCAAAGAGGGATTTTGAAGAACCATCACAGACGATAAAGCTGGAAAGAACATTTATAGGACCATCCTGTAAGGCAGTGCCATTTCCCTCTGTATGGGTCAGGGCTGGCACACCAACAGTGACATAGGGGCATTCGCTTTCCTGAAATGTGCATTTATCTGTACTTACCTATACTTATGTGCAAGTGTGAATACGTTTTTTCAGAAAGAAAAGGAGCTAAATACATGGTTTATATTAGTATCTGCTAATCACGTAAAAAGCCTCTAGAAATGTAAAAGCAAGATAAGTGACAGTCGCTGGTTTTGCTCCACACTGGGGCTCAGTGCCCTGTCCCTACACTGGCCTGTGCTCACTGGGGTCACGCCAGCGATCAGCACAGGGATTCCCTGCCCGGGAACCCACCCGCGGGGAAACCCTTGGGAAGGTCCCTCGGCCTCGCACAGCCCACCCCCAGCCGGGGCGGGCCGGGTGCTGCAAGGGGTCCCCGCGGCCGCCACGGAGGAGCCGCCCCGCCTTGTCCTGTCCTGTCCTGTGTTTTCCCGTCCTGTGCCGTCCCGCCGGGCCCGAGCGGCCGCTGGCTCCGCCATGGCCGGAACACAAACAAACACCGCGCTCGGGGGCGGGGCCAAGCGGCTCCCACCATTTTGGGGCCGGGGGAGCCCAGCGGGCGGCCGGGTTCCCTCACTCCTGTCCTGCCTCGTCCCGCCGGGGGCGGGCAGGGCTGTTCCCGCTGCGGGGCCGGGCGGGGGGCGCGGAGCGGAGCGGGGGCCCCGCGGCTGCTCCCGGGGCCCGGCGGGGAGGGGTGAGAGGAGGAGCCAGGGCGGCCCGTGCGACAAAGCCCAGTGCGCAGGGAGCTGGTGACCGGGAAGCAGAACCGCGCCGAGCTGTCGCGGGGCGGACGGACCCTCTGGAGCCCGCTGCCCCACGGGGGGTGGGAGGCCCGTCCTGCCGCCCCCCCGGCTCGGGGGTCGGGACGGCTGCAGAGCGGAGCGGGAGGCGGCCGAGCGGTGCTGCTAAGCCGCTTAGGGCCGGGGCTGGCATGAGCCTCCCCGGCGGGGCGGCTGCGGGCTGCACGCTGCGGCGGGGAGGCTGAGGGCGCGGATCCGCCGCCGCCGCCGGCGCGGGGGGAGGCGGAGGGGGGGCCGCGCTCCCCGGGGGAAGATGGGGAACTGCCTCAAGTCCCCCACCTCGGATGACATCTCGCTGCTCCACGAGTCCCAGTCGGACCGAGCCAGCTACGGGGACGGGGCTGAGCCGGATCAGGAGCCGCCGCCGCCATATCAGGTAGGGCAGGGAGCGGGGTGGGGGTGCCGGGGCACGGCGGGGGGCGCGGGGCCGCTCTACCCCGGCGGGGGCCGGACCGCGGCGCAGCGGGGCCGTCGTCTCCCCGCCGCCTCCCCTCCAGCGCTGGGCGGCCCGAACCTCTCCCTTTCCGCCCGCACGTAGCGCGGGGGAAGGCGCTTTGTCTCGGCCGCTCCGGCCGCTCCGGGCGGGCGGGAGGCGCAGGGCAGGGGCCGCCCGGCCGGGGCCGCGTCCTTTGTTGCCGCCGGCGGTGACATCACCGTCTGGCGCGGGGGACGCCCCGGGACGGGACCGCGGGCCCTGCCCGGGCTTTGTCCGGGCCCGCTCGCTCCGCTCCCGTATTTTTAGCTGCATCTGATCCCCAGCAACTCACTCCCCCAGCGCCGGGGATCTTGTTTTCCTCTGTCCTGTGGAGCACGGGAGGGGAAGTGTTTCCTATTGTTCGGGTTTTTTTTTTTTGTCTCAGAGAGAATCTGTTAATTTACATCTTAGTGACGAATCAGGGAGAAAGAAGAGAAAGGCCGGGTATTTGCTTTGATGGCTTTGCTGACAGCGGAGGGTAACGCTGATGTGGAGGGGGGATGGCGTTGGTGTGAAAGCGCCTGGAAGAGATGGACACGGAGAGGGAACCTGAACTTGGAATTGCACTTGTCTGCTCCCTTTGATCTCCACCTACAGAAATGTGTATTGGCCTGGACAAGCCGTCTACAGACAGCACTGTAAAAATGAAAACCATCCCGTGATATAACTGCACATTCAGTTCGAGTTTTGAAAAGTATTTTCCTGTGTGGGATAATAGCACACATTCCAGAGAAATCCATAGAAACGACAGTCTAGACACAAATTCTGGGAGGATGACTTGGGAGCTCTACGTTTTCTAGGATGGGAGTCACTCCGTAGTTGCAGACCCTGATGTATAATTAACAAAATTGCAGGAAGTATTTAGCCGGACAGACGTGATACTTCAGCAAGTTCAAGAATTACACCCTGATAGGAGCCCCGTAAGTGTTGAAGAGAAGCCCGACATGTAGCAGCCCTTGCCGGTGCCCTGAAGCTGCACTGGTGTGTCTTGGCAGTGTGTCCCTGTTTGTTTTGTGCTGAATATTAGAATAAATTCTGTGATGTGAGGAATTTTTTTTCTCTCTTCTGAACTGCTTCTGCTGAAGTCCAGTGAATAAAAAGTGCTTGCTGGCAGATATAAGTTTTTTTTAAAGCTGATGTGGTTCTAAATTACGCCTGAATTGTCCATGAGGTTTAGGAATGCATTGAGTTTTTGTCAATTCAGCATAAAAGTTTGCGCAATTTATTGCATTTATATCTGTGATTCCAAGAAGACTTATGGAGTTTTTTGGGTTTTTTCTCCCTTTGAAAACAATTTGTTAGCTCTTGTAAAAGGCACAAGTCAAGTATATGTCTTATGCAGGCCTTCTTGTGTGGATGTCAGTGTAGGCAACGAATCTTCCTCTGTTGTCAGAGGTTTTTAAAGGTTTTTTTTGACGAAGAACTTGTTCATAAGTGTGGATGGTTGACTGAGAACGCGATAAAGAGTAAAATAAATGAACCTACAGGTGTCTACTCTCGAGTAAGTGTATTCATAGCAAAACTTCCCTCACTTGAATAGAGCTGTGTAGCATCAGGTGATGTGCCCACAGGCGCTTGGCTGTCTCAGACATTGCTGGCTGTCCTGAAAGCTCCTCCACTGATCCTAGCAGTTCCTAAGGCTTTACCTTAAAGGTAGCATTTCGTGTCTCACAGTCAAAGCTGAAGGTACCCTTTCCACAGATTTTGAACCACCATGGTTAGTGATTTTTAAAAAAAGAAGAAAAAAATAAAGGCCATACCTACAATATTATGCAGTGTTTAATGGACTTCGAGTTTGAGGTGATTTATGATTTTAAATTGTTTCCTGTTTACAAGATGTGCAAAAACTCCAAATATGAAAAATTCCTGATGCTCCATCATTGCTGTGGTGCTAGCCATAGGTCACTCATTTTTACTTTCAAGTGGCAGCTTAGATTTAGTATTAGAAATGGGAATTTAGGAGTTTTGTCCTTGTTTTGGATAATTGGTTCTTTTACAGTGTCTTATCCAGAATTAGTGTATAATATACAGACATTAGGAATGAAAGGAAGGAAGAGTATAAAACAAATTTAAAAACTTGCTTGTGGCAACTAGCCTCAAGAAACTGGAAGGTGAACAGTTTTAAAGCTAGCTGCTGAAAAGTCAGCTGTAAAATGGACATCATTCAGAAGGGACTAAAAACTGGTATGTTTGCTTCTCTTAGGTTTGCAGCAAGGATGTGTCAACTTCCTGAATAGCTCTTGGAGGGTTTGCAAACTAAAGGAGGCTTGTTGGGTGAAGAAACACAGTTGTAGAAGATGGCTTCTGTGTCTCTTGTAACTAACTTCTGTATTATTTTGAGATTTAAAATACTTTTTCATGTCCTGCTGTGATTTTTATTTAGGTGCTGTTTTCCAGCTGCAAAATGCACCCCCAATAATAATTTCAGTACTGCATGTCAAATTTCTTTAATCAGTGAGTGCTGTTGAACTGGCTGTGTAAAATTCCTGCTTCCAAAAGTGAGATAGAAGATTGGATTGCCAGTATGGACACATGGAATAACGGGGAATAACTTCTATTCAGAGGCTCTGCAAATACCTGTCTCTTGGTTTCTGTGGCAGTACGTGTTATAAGCTACAGCAGAAATGCCTCAGAGAGGAAGCATCTTTTTAAACAGGTGTCTGAGTTAATGAGAAAGTGGCCCATTAAAGCATCAGATATTTTCCAGTGCATTGAGCTTAACAGCTAACATGGGAAATAATTAAAACACACCAAAAAAAGAGTGTGTTTTTATGGTGGGGGGGAAAGGAAGTGATTTCAAGAGTGGACCAACATTTTCGTAGACGGTTGCTAATTTTGAATGCCTCCATTTTAGAACCCAGAAATTACAACTGTTTTTCTAAGCGCTAAGAACATGCAGCTCCATTTTTAACCAGTGAATCTGTGATTAGGAAAGAGTTAGCTTTGGTTTTATTTTTTCTCAGGTCGTCAAAATTGAGTATGCTTTCAAGTTTGTTTTCCTTTTTAGTGTATGAGTTCTTCACCATCTGTTGGCAATATGCCTTCTGCTGTTTTTCCATACAAGTTTACTGTTTTTTCCCAGTTTCTCTTACTTTTAGTAGTTCTTCTCAAAGGCTTTATTTTGCAGAACAGATGTGTCCCTTTTCTTAATCCTTGTCTCCGGTTTCTGTTCTTAAATAGTTCCCTAATAGCTGCAGGAAATAATTTGCCAGTTTATTACATTTTGGAATTTTTACACAGTGAAGTAGATGCTTTACATCTTTTCTCCCGAAGTTTCTAAAACTGTGGACAAAATACACCACAGTCTTCTAAAAAAAATGTTTAGCACTTGCTAAATTAATAAGTTGACAGCATGAGAGATAAGCACAAGTTCTTGGTGTTGATACTAAACTCATAAAAGCACATTTGATATGTTGATGTGGCAGATAGATTCAAAATATATTTTTTACCCCTTTACCTGAAGAGATAGAGAGCACCCCCCTTTCTTGGTACTTCCCTGTGTTTTACAGGCCCAGATAAAATGTTTCAGTGGATCTAGTGGATTTTTTTTTTTTATTTGGAGGGATTAATTTAAAACCTTTTGGCCTGGATACTCATTTGATTAGGCTGTAGGCACAAAATGAGACGAGAGATCACAAACATGAGCTTAACCCAGTGCTGTGCTCCCATAATCTTCCAAAAGCTGTTGGGGACAGCAGGTTTTGAAAGCGCAATTTAGGGACGTCTCATGGCTTCTCTGCAACTGGGGTTGCTGCAATAGCCTCCCTGTGCCTCCTTTGTTAACTGAGTGTCACCTGAACATGTGTCCCCATCCACCTGTCTTGTTGTGCTTCATTCCAGCTGTCCCCCATTGGGGAGGTGGCACATCAGCCTGTCGTGACAGTTCCCTGGAGATGCTGAAGAAGTTCTCAGTTTGAATAGTCAGAGAATTTCCTTGAAATAGTCCACTGCACTTCTGTGTGAAACTCGCCCCATGGATGGATGTATTGGTTGTCTTTTGCTCAACAGAGAAGCTTTTGTTATGCTCTCATCGCGACTTAAGTAATATGTTACATCGGTGTTCTGATGCTGTCTTTTCAAAGGCATGGTAATTAATATAATTAAAAGTTGCAAACCAGATTAATTCTGATCTAGGATTTGCACCCATTTATTGAAACATCTGTACAAAAATTCTCTTGGGCCCCAGCTGAGATGATTTATGGTCTGTGATTGTGTGTATTGTATAAGAAACAAGACTATGGTAGTGTAAAATTACAGTCTTGACATGGAGTGGTTGTGTGAAGCTGGAACTGTTAGTGTATGTTGGAACAGCATAAAAGGGGGAAAGATGCAATGGGAAAACATTACATACAGAAAGATATCCATGAAAAAAAGCAAACCTACTTGTAAGTTTACGTTCATTGAAGTGAAAGGAGTGTATTTTAAAATTGTCTGTGCAGGTCTTGCCTTTTTTTCTGCTTATCCTCCACATCTTGCTGATGACGTGTATGAATTACAGTTGCATTTGTGGATGTGAACTGAAATACCACTCCAGTCCACAATTCCTTAGTCTGGTGGAAACTTCAAAGGGCTTCAAAGGAGAGTGTGTCTTTGTTGGTGTGTTGCTGGCTGGTGCCTTCTGGCAGTAGTCCCTGGTGGAGATCAGCTTCAGTGAGGAGAGAAAGTGATGGAGGAGCTGAAGTTGAGAGTTTGCTGCATGGATAAGAAATGGTAGAGTAGGCTGGGGATGTTTTGTGCTTCTCGTCAAGGATATGATTGCTTAAGCGACCTTATATAACTCATTCTCAAACATGAACAAGTGCTACAGTAGTATTCTCGAATAATATTTCTACCTGTGGAAGACCAAGCACTAAGGGATAAAGTCACTCCTGATAAATAGTTAGGATACAATTTGCACACCT